AGCCCATCTGATGGAGGACTGACTGGGTGCAGGGTGGGGGGCTGTGGAGGATGGGGTGACCTGTCAGCATAGGGCCATCTGATGGAGGATGGGGTGCAGGGTGGGGGGCTGTGGAGGATGGAGTAACCTGTCAGCATAGGGCCATCTGATGGAGGATGGGGTGCAGGGTGGGGCTGTGGAGGATGGGGTGACCTGTCAGCATCAGCCCATCTGATGGAGGACGGGGTACAGGGTGGGGGTGCGGAGGAGCCGGGCACAGTGGCTGACCTGCTTGGCACTTCTCTCGAAGACCACGTACTGCTGGCACTGGTCCAGCCGCCTCTTTCTCATGGTCCAATAGTGCAGTACCCTGTTCTCCCGCTGGAAGAGCTCATTCAAGATGTCTGAGGGAACAAAGGAAAAGACGCCCGTCAGTGCGCTGAGATCACAGGGAGGCAGGAAGCGATGAAACCTGCACATGCCTGCTCAGTTTTCTCTCAAGGCTTTGAAATAAAAAGTGTTCGTCTGACGAAGGAGCCACGGTGGTGCCACAGTCAAGTGCTCAGCTGTGAACTGAAAGGTCAGCAGATGGAACCCAGGCGGTGTCTCTGCAGGAGGACCCGGTGACCCGTTTCTGAAGACTACAGCCTGGAAAGCCCTGCTCGGTCACACAGTGTCCCTGTGAGCTCAGTGGACAATACCCAACAACGACATGCAAACATCACTGCAAGACTGGATCTTAAATGAAGTCTCACACACCTTCCCTGGACAGTGACCAGACTGCTACTCACTCTTACCCAGTGTATTTTCTCATCAGTGAGGTCACTGGAAACCTGAGTGTTGGTCTCCAATACCTCAGGTAGCTGGATTAATGGGAAAGGCATTAGTCTTCCCTCCCTGGGTCAGTATCACAATGACCGGGGAAAATATCAGTACTGGATATTTTGCTCAAGACAACTAAAACGTTCCTGTAGAAGGAACTTACTATATGGTAAAGGTGGTACACCACATTTATGGGGTACAAGAAAGAAACAGAGGTTTTTTGTTTTGTTTTAATATAAATCCTTAGGAGAAGGAAGGATATGAAACAGATTATTAGGGAAGCAGAGAAACGTGGATCCCTGGTGGTGCAGTGGGTAAGTGCTCAGTTGCTAACTGAAAGGTCAATGGTTTGAACCCACCATCCGCTCCATGGGACTAAGATGTGGCGGTCTGCTTCCATAAAGATTTACAGCCTTGGAAACCCTATGGGTTGCTGAGTTGGAATTCACTCTTGTCAATGGGCTTGTTTTTTTTAATGTGGTTTATTAAAAAGGACAGAGTAGATCTTTTACTATGACACAGAAAGATGACTAAGGTATTATTAAGGCAAAGACGCGAGCTGCAGGTAAATATAATGACAGTAAGTTGGGTGGTGTGTCGAATATACTGAGAGAATGAGGGGGGGAGGGGGGAGACAGAGAGAGAGAGACCCAGGAGAGCGGTGGTTAAGCACCCGGCTGCTAATTGGCATAAACATTTTTGGCTGCAAATACGTCGTTGTTGTTGTTAGGTGCTGTCGAGTCATCTCTGACTCACAGCGACCCTACACGCAGCAGAACAAAACACTGCCCGGTCCTGTGCCAGCCTCATCATCCTTGCTACACTTGACCCCATCATGGCAAGCCCTGTGTCAATACATCTCGTTAAGGGCCTTCTCCTTTCTCATTGACCCTCCACCTTACCACGCCTGATATCCTTCTCCAGGGAATGGTCCCTTCTGACAACATGACCAAAGTCGGTGAGAGAAAGTCTGGCCATTCTGTTGTTGTTAGGTGCTGTCAAGTGGGCTATGACTCATAGCAACCCTAGGTGCAAGAGAATGAAACACTGCCTAGTCCAGCACCACCTTCACAATCCTTGCTATATTCGAGTCCATCACCACACCACGGCGTCAACCCATCTTTTTGAGGAGCTTCTCCTTTCTCACTGACCCTCCACCCTACCAAGCATGACATCCTTCTCCAGGGAATGGTCCCTTCTGACAACATGACTAAAGTAGGTAAGACGAAGTCTGGCCATTCTCACTTCCAAGGAGCATTCTGACTACACTTCTTCCAGGACAGATTTTGTTTTTTGGTTTTGATATTTATTATGCATTACTATAGTGGAGTACAAGAAGTACTATAATGATGCATAATAAATACTGAAACCAAAAACCACTGCCACTGAGTCAATTCCCACTCGTAGGGACCCTATAGAACAGAGCAGAACAGCCCCATGGGGCTTCTGAGCATGTCAATCTCGACGGAAGCAGAGTGGCTCATTTTCCATCCAAGAAACATCCTCATATGATGCATTTCCATGTCATTTCAATTAAACATGTGAAAAATTACAATTTAAGTTTTAAAATTATCACTTGAATGCCTCCTCACTGTAAAATATGCAATCAGAATGTTATCAAGTAAAAATTTAAAGTCTTCTTCAAGTTTCCTTTCACACCAATCTCTAGTTAACAGCTGCAACAATGAAATAAATGCACCAGCAACTGTGAGGATGGAGGATGTGGGCAATGTTCACTCTGTGATACATGGGGTCACCGTGAGTTGGTGCTGACCCGGCAGGAGCTAACAATATCTATTTTCCCAGACCTTCTTCTATCCATGTATGTGTGTATGTACAAATGTATTTGTTTATATGTTGTTGTTGTTGTTGTTGTTGTTAAGTGCCATCGAGTCATTTCCGACTCATAGCGACCCCATGCACAGCAGAATGAAACACTGTCCGATCCCGCGCCAGCCCCACAATCCATGTTATACTTGAGCTCATCATTGCAGCCAGCATAACAATCCATCTCGTTGAAGGCCTCCCCCTCTTTCGTTGACCCTCTACCCTACCAAGCATGACATCCTTCTCCAGGGAATGGTCCCTTCTTACAACGTGACCAAAATAGGTGAGACGAAGTCTGGCCATTCTTGCTTCCAAGGAACATTCTGGCTGCACTTCCTCCAGGACAGATCTGTTAGTTCTTTTAGCAGTCCATGGGACTTTCAGCATTCTTCGCCAGCACCACAACTCAAAAGCATTTTTTTAATATACAGAGATATATATTTTATATTTTATATATATTGTATATTTTATATACAGAGATATATATGTATGTATACACGTGTGTGTACACACGTACTTGGTTAGATATATACAATCAAATACAAAAATCAAACTAACATTTTTAAATGTTCTTTTACTAACTAACAATGTCATAATATATGATACTAACACTTTACAGCAAAGATACTGACAAATAATTTCCTGATTTGATCTTTTAAAAATAATTTACCTATGATTTTAATTTCTTTTCTGCTTTCTAATATACTCACTTAGTTTAACGAAAACAGCAGTATCAATCTGAATGCTATACTTTTCCATGTTAATATTTTTCAATTTTATTCAATAAATTGTCAACCTATTTATTATTTTTATTAAATTAAGGTAAGTAGCAAGGATTTCCTTTCATGAAACACGAAACAGAATAGCTTTAAAATACAGGCAGTCTCCAGATTATGAACGAGACCCATCCCTAAGTGCGTCTTTAAGTGAATTTGTAGGTCAACTGGAACAGAGGCACACAGTCCTTATTTAGCCTTTAGTGCAAGAAAAGGCAGGAAGCCTTTTCTGTGCCTGAAAAGCTGCATGTGAGCAAGTGAAGGTACTGGTGATGACAAGTTTGTTGCAGGTAGGGGTTGGTTCCATGGCTTCAAAGGGAGGGCAAATGTACCTAGTATTAAAGGGCCAGTACAAGTCTGTAAGGAGTTCTGGTGGTGTAGTGTCTAAGACACTTGACTGCTAACCAGAAGGCTGGCACTTCAAACCTGGTTCAAACCCACCAAACTCCTCGGAATGAAGGTTGGACAATCTACTTCCATAGTGATACTGCCTCAGAAACCCAAGGAGGGGTCACTATGAGTGGGGTCCAACTCAATAGCACATAACAACAACAACAACAAGTCTGTAAGTGAGGCATTCATAACCTGGGGACTTACTGTAAGCCCAAAAGCACAATGTAGGCATGAACAGGCAGGATGCCAACTCCTAACTTGCACTTACTTTTCACTTGCTGCTCGGGAGCTTTGACATGGGTCACCATCCCTGGCATGTTCACACTGTTCCTGTGCAGGTATTTCAGGAAGACATCAGCATTCCTTCTAGCCAGTGTGCAAGCCTGGGAAACAGTGGAGAGCAATGTAAGTCAGTCATCTGACTTATACATACACAGTGCATGTGGACGACAGCATCACTTGCCTTGAACGTATGTCTTTACCTAAAACTTACTCCTGGCCAACTTGTGGTTTGGAGGCTGCGTAAGGTTAAATACTATTCCAATTAAAAAAAAAAAAAAAAAGCTCTCTCTGCTGAATTGGGTCGGAGGAAGCCAGCTGCTATGTCGTGAGCTGCTACATGGAGAGGCCCACATGGCTCAGCACTGAGGGTGGCCACAGACAGACACAGAGAACAGAAGCCCTTCCCAAATCGAGCCTTGGTTTGACTACAGCTGCCCTGATCAACACCTTGACTGCCCTCTATGAGGACCAAGGGTCAAAGGGCCCAGCTCAGCTGTGCCAGATTCTACAAATGGAAGAAAGGAAATATTTTTATCTTTGCTGGTCATAGATCTCTGACTCCCTGTTGCAACTACTGAATCTTGCCATTTGGCACAAAAGCAACCCTAGATGATGTGTAAACAAGTGGATGGGGCCGAATTTAGCCCTCAGGGCCCAGTTTGCTGACCTGTGGTTTAAACCACTGAGGTTGGGAGTGGTTCGGTGTGCCACACTATTGTGATCATAAATAACCAGTATTACACGTTTTATGTTTATCTAGTAGATAAAAAAAGTAACTCAGTGTGTTAATGTGGTAAAAAACAATGTTTTTATGTAAGAGAAAAGGTATAAAAATATAAAGTCAAACCAGTTAAGAAAAACATTTATTTGAATTGGAAATATCAGTAGAGACTGGATTTGTTTTTCTCTTAATTAAAAAAAGCCCATTGGCACCTTCTACTATAAAAGCCTAGACAGTGACCAACCCAATCGTAATGAGCTCCCTAGCGCCAAAACTGTGGTCTCTAAACAGCACCTACCACCAGAAGAGCTCCATGAATAAAGATGAATTCTAGATCCGGGGCAGGAAATGCACAAGGCTAAGTCTGAAATAAGCTGCCCCACCAAACAGCAAGGAAGCTGCTCACGACTGCGGGGTCACGACAAAAGGAGGGAGGAGGCAGCCTGACCCGAGGGCTCCACTGACAGGCAAAGAAGAACATTAAAAGGTAAGTGACTGTGACTGAAACACACCAAACATGGTAAAATCCATGATGACACTGAAACATAACTAGTCACATTTAGAGGTTGCTGGGCCCATGCAGCATTTTGAAAGTGGTAAATGAAAGGAAAAAATCTAGCAGTTACCTGCCTTTCCTGTTTAAACAATATTTCAAAATCATCAAAGAGCTAATGAGAGAAAACTCTTCTTTAGAGAATAATGCTAGCTAATTAAGGCAGAAGGAAAGACGAAAATTAGCAATCATTTTGCAACTCCTAACGCAGCAGGATGGGACGCGACTGGGCAGTGTTTCATTCTGTTGCACACAGGGTAGCTGTGAGTTGGAGCCGACCTGACAGCACCTAACAACATAACGACAACACAGCACAACCACCACTGGCTGATACTAAGCCCACTGGGGAAAAGGCAGGTCAGGAAGCTCACAGTGGATGAATCAGACGCCCACGTGTGAACCCACGTGTGAACCACTGATAAATCAAGTATCACACGGACAAAAGAGGAGACCCAGTTATTAGGCCCCTCCTGATGTGCTCTAAGTGGAGTGCACAGCAGCACCTCAGAGGTATTCCAAGCACCCCCAAACACACATACCTCCCAAACCTAACCCGATCAAGCTTCACATTCTAACAGAAATCAGAGGGCAAAAGACAGTGCTAACTGGCACCACAGGCCACAACTACAAAATTCCGTGTGGGTAAGTTTCACAGCCTGAGTCACCTATTTTTTCAATTACTAAATGGTAACTTAGAAGACATACCAACCACTCTTTGAAAAGATTAATAAAATTGACAAACCACTGGCAAACTTAGCAAAGGAAAGGAGGGAAAGAATACAAATAACATGAATAAGAAACAAACTGGGCGATGTCACAACAGAGCCAACTGAAATAAAGATAATATCAGGATACAATGAAGAACTGTACTCCAACAAATTTGAAAATCTAGAAGAAATGGATAGATTTCTAGAAACATACTACTTACCTAAAATAATACACTGCGGTGGAAAATCTAAACAGACTCATAACAAAAGAAGAAACTGAACAAGTAACCCCAAAAAAGTCCTGCCCTAGACAGTTTCACTGGTGAATTCTACCAAACATTCAGAGAAGAACTGACACCAATCCTACTCAAGCTATTCCAGAATACAGAAAAGGATGGAATACCCCTAAATTCATTTTATGAGGCAAGCAAAACCTTGATACCAAAACCAGGCAAAGACATCACTAAAAAGGAAAAGTACAGACTAATATCCCTCATAAATACAGATGTCAAAATCTTCAAAAAAAATCCTAGCCAACAGTCTTCAACAATATTTCAAGAAATTACCACATCATGACCAAGTGGGATTTATACCAGGTATGTAAGGATGGCTTAACATTATTGTTGTTGTTATGTGCTGTAGAGTCAGACCTGACTAATAGAGACCCCTCCTTGGGTTTCAAGGCGTTATCACAATGGAAGTAGATTGCCCAACCTTCCTTCCAAGGAGTCGCTGGTGGGTTTGTACCACCAGCCTTCTGGTTAGCAGTCAAGTGCCTTAGGCTCTACACTAGTAGAAAGATGAAATCTATCACATAAGTAAAATAAAGAAAAAGAATCACATGATCATATCAACAGATGCAGAAAAGGTATTTGATAAAATCCAACACCTGATCAAAACATTGAGCAAAACAGGAATAGAAGGAATATTCCTCAACATGAAAAAGGGCATATATGCAAAAGCAACAGCCAATATTATTTTCAGTGGAGAGAAACTGAACCCAGTCCCCCTGCAAATAGGAACCAGACAAGGGTGACCTCTATCACCACTTCTGTTCAACATTGTATTGCAAGTCCTAGCCAAGGCAGTAAGACAAGAAAGGGAAATCAAATTGGTAAGGAGGAAGTAAAAACTATCCCTATTTGCTGATGGCATGATCCTATACATAGAAAACCCAAGAGACTCAGAAAAAAACTACTGGATCTAACTGAGAGATTTAGCATCGTGGCAGGATGTAAGATCAACATCCAAAAATCAGTTGGATTCCTCTGCACCAGCAAAGAGATTGCTGAAAAGGAAATAAGGAAACTGAAACCATTTACAACAGCCAATAAAAAAATAAAGTACTTGGGAATAAATCTTACCAGGGACACCAAAGACCTGTACAAACAAAACTACAAAACACTACTTCAAGAAACCATAAGAGATCTACATAAATGGGAAAACATACCATGCTCATGGATAGGAAGATTGAACATTGTGAAAATGTCAGTACTACCCAAAACAATCTACACATTCAATGCAAATCCCAACTCAGATCCCATTAACATTCTTTAAGGATATGGAAAAACCAATCACTAATTTTATATGGAAAGGAAAGAGACCTCGGATAAGCAATGCACTATTGAAGAAGATTTGTGAAGAAGAACAAAGTAAGAGTTGTCATACTCCCAGATCTCAAAACCTACTATTACAGCAATGGTAGTCAGAACAGCCTGGTACTGAGACAGACACATCAACCAGTGGAATAGAATTGAGAACCCAGAAATAGACACACTGACCTATGGTCAACTGATTTTTGACAAAGGGCCAAAATTCACTAATTGGTGGAAAATACAGTCTCTTCAACAAATGGTGCTGGCAAAACTGGTTATCCATTTGCAGAAAAATGAAACACGATCCATACCTCACACCACACACAAAAACTAACTTCAGATGGATCAAAGACTTAAAGGTGAAACCTAAAACTATAAAGTTCCTCAAGGAAAAACTAGGTGAAAATTAAGGGGCCCTCTGGTAGCCTCTTGGCATAACTGAGTGAGCGCCTCCAATGGGGCATCTGTTTGTTGAAATATCTCAATCGGTATGCCATCAATTCCCAGAGCCTTGTTCTTCGCCAGTTCTTTCATTGCAGCTTTGACTTCTTCCTTCATTACCATTGGTTCTAGATCATATGCCACTAACTGAAATGGATGAAGA